TCTCTCTCATGAAACTGCCTCCCTCCCCAGACCTCACTGCAGACACATGTCTTTTGCAATTCTAAAGGATCAGGTCTACATTCCTTTCAATTAACCTCAAAGGGAAAGAATGAGTTGTAACACAGTGAGAAGAGAAAAAGGGCTTGGGGGAAGTTGAGGACTGACTTACAGGTATTGCCAGTGGTTATCTAAATAGCGAAATGAAATAAAAGTGGTTTGAATGAGGTTTTAAGTACTCAGATAGGACATGAACATCTCTGTTGTGGTTGATGAAACCATAAGATAATGTTGAGAACTGTAGGAAGAAACAGAAAGAAAAAAGCAAGTGTGTTTTTCTTATATTTGAACAGGGAAAAGAAGCCACCCCCCAACTTGGTCTAGTTTAAAAAATGAAGACACAGACTCCAGTACATTTCTGAATTTGGGTGAGAAATTGAATAGGAATGTGTGCTGGGAGTTGGAAGGGAAATGTGTGAGCTTCCTTTTGCATCAAAACAGCATGCAGAAGATCTGCACAAGCCCAAGCCAGAAAAATCCAGCATGGATAGAGGAGGGCAAGAAGGCCCAGCCCTCACCGAGGAGCTATTGCAACAGATAGCTGTTGGGAAAGGGAGAGTCAGTTTTCTTTAAGAGTATAATGCTGAGTGGATTTTAAGTTGATTTTCCGAGGTGTTTTTGCCAAAGCAATGGAAACCTAACTGGCATACCCAGCAAATGTATTTTTCACATAAATATGCTGCTGTGTTCAAATATACATGCATGATGTGTTTCAATAAACAGTTTTTTTAAAAAAACTGCATTTGAACTTAATTGGGATTATCTCATATTTACTGATTCTATTGAATTTAACAATGTTTATAGAGAACTGTTAATTATAATATTATCTTCCTGTTCAGGAACACAATATTCTTTTTATTTGTTTGGAGATAGTGGTTCTTAGCACATGCAGTCTAATTTGATTTTCTAAAATTGTATTAAAGATTTACTAGGTTACACTAACCTTGTAACAGCTGAGTAGCTTCTAGGCCTGCTTTAAATCTGTGTTTCTGTGACATAGGGATAATGTATTTCTTGAAAATCTGAATGAACATGAAAAATTTCTTATCATGTGAGTATTTAGATCTAATGTCTTCAAGGAGTATTTCTTCTTTTATTAGGGAAGTGTCTATAATTTTTAAATTATAAATATATGCAATTTTTATACTTCTTATATATTTTTATATTTTGGGGGTTTTACTTCTTC